TCGCCAAAGATTCCCTCCGGGCAGTGCGAGGTTTGCGCCGCGAATAAAAGTTTGCACAGAGCATCGGTGTGGTGTCTGTGATTGCTGCGTGGAGCGACTGCGTGGGGAAACGCGCTGCGAGGGTGAACGCGGAGGCGCAGCACGGGCGAGGAGTTGAGGTAATCGCTCGCAGGTGTGGGCGTGAGCGTGGCGCTGTGTGCTGCTTTAGCTGTGGTGTACGTGGTGGGTGTGTGGGTTAATTCCGTGCGGCTGTGAGCCAGCAGCAATGAGTATGTCCCTCAGGGCGCTAGCGCAGGGGCCCCGATCACTCGGTCGTCGGGGCCCGGCGGGAGCCGACCGACGCGGTGGAAGAGGGAGCGGAAGGGGCGGACGTTACGCCCCACCTGCCTAGCGAGGGCGGTGGGGTGGACGTCGGCCCTCACAGTACCCCCAACAAGTTATAAGAAAGTTCCACACTTAATGCATTGCCACCTCCTGGCGAGCCACGGTACGCTGAGCACGACGTCCACGGGAACGAACAGAGTTTCAACGACGTGTACGGGGGATCCACTAACTCTCTCTGCCTCCTCCACAGTGCTGATTGCAGGCCACGTGCGGCATGGCCACCAGTGCCCAGCCTGAGAGTTCGAGCCAGAAAACTGCTGCTGCTGGTTTCACCTTTCCTCATCACGCTGCAATCGCTACTTTTGTGATCCCGATCTCACTTGAACAACACATACATCTTCTTGGTTCTTTCGGTAAAGTCACGTAGAATGAGAATAAAACAAAATAAGACAATAAAATTCTCACGACGTTTCGGCCACAACACAAGTAGCATTCTTCAGGCGAAGGAACAGAACTGTCGGGACGACAGCGCTTCAATTAACGCTGCTAAGATTCGCAGCGTCTTTTAAGCTAGGTGGGAGAAGAAAAGCGCCTTGACAAAGGAGTTTACATATCAAACAGGAGAATTTAGCATTGAAATAGCTGTGTTAAAGTGTTGGATCAGCAGGGTGCTAAAGTCAGAAATTAGCATGTAACTGGGAGATTAGCATGATTTTAATGCGAGGGATTAGCATGTGACTGGTCACGGAAATAGCTATGTTATAGTAAAAGTTTACATATCAATAGAGGCATTTAGTATATGGACGCTAAAGGACTGCAACTACCCAACTATCATACAATAAACCGATGTGAAAAAACTAAGTTTAAACTACATCAATATAATAAATGTACTCAATATATTCTTCAATAAGTTGAGCTATAAACATAAAGTGACTGGATATACACTACACTATATAATGAATACCATATAGTAAACTAATAAAAAACTAAAATATAAACTACATCAATGTTATCAATAAACTCTATATACTCTCCAATCAGCTGAGTGCTTCAATGAACGCTGCTAAGATTCGCAGCGTCTTTTAGGCTAGGTGGGAGGGGTAAAGCGCCTTGACAAAGGAGTTTACATATCAAACAGGAGGATTTAGCATTGAAATAGCTGTGTTAAAGTGTTGGATCAGCAGGGTGTTAAAGTCAGAAATTAGCATGTAACTGGGAGATTAGCATGATGTTAATGTGAGGGATTAGCATGTGACTGGTCACGGAAATAGCTATGTTAAAGTCAAAGTTTACATATCAACAGAGGCATTAGTATATGGACGCTAAAGGACTGCAACTACCCAACTATCATACAATAAACCGAAGTATAAACTACATCAATATAATAAATGTACTCAATATATTCTTCAATAAGTTGAGCTATTAACATAAAATAAGTGGGTATCCACTACACTATATATTGAATACCATATAGTAAACTAATAAAAAACTAAAATGTTATCAATAAACTCTATATACTCTCCAACAGCTGAGCTACTAACAATAAGTCGTTTTACATTACAATGCCATATGCGAAAAAATGGGTGGCGTTTTTTTCTTTTCAACGTTAGCACCACGGACAGCGACGAGCTTTGTTCAGACGGACGAGTCCATCTATGCTCGGAACGGAGGAGGGGGGAGAAACAGCCACGATGCGCTGTTATACTCTATGTTATAAACCATACCATTAACCGTGGCGTGAGAGGTATTAAGAGGCAATGCCAGCAAAAGGGCTGCGGTGTGAAGGTCACCGTAAAATACAATTAATTAGGAACCGAAATGGTTTAAAACATCTTTCCAATGGTTACTAAGCCAGAATCCATCTTCTCGGTTGAAATTGTCTCTGTGCCTGTATATGTGGATGGCCTCATGAACGAATCTCTCATGGTAGCCGGTTGGCTTGCAAAGAACCTCCGTCTTGGAGAAGTCAATGTCATGTGAGCCCACTGAATTATAACAGTGATCTGCCACGGCAGAGGAGTTCGTCCTACCGTGTTTCAAGTCTGCTTTATATTCGTGGATGCGGTCCGAGATATGTCGTTTGGTTTCTCCAATGTAGCTGCTACCACAGAGGCACTTTAGTTTGTAAACGCCCGGGTACTGTATGTCTGGAACAGCATCTTTTACAGACGGAACCAGATCACGGATTTTATGTACTGTGTTGAATTGGACCTGGATCTTGTGTTTGTTCAGGATTTTGGAGATATTTTTTGTGACCCCCGCAATGTAAGGTAAGGTGATGGTTTTGAATGGTTACTCAAGGGGATCCTTCTTCATGACTGGAGTGATGGCTTTGCGGATTGTGTAGTCGGAGTAACCATTAGCCTTGCGAGCTTGGTGTACGTGTTTGAGTTCACTGGCAATGTGATCCTGGTCGGAAATGCATTGGGCTCTATGGTATAGAGTCTTGATGAGGGAGTTCTTCTGGGATGGATGGTGGTGGGAATCCGGTTTTAAGTAAGCATCCATATGGGTCACTTTCCTGTAGACCGAGTGGCTCATTGAACCATCAGGTCTCCTTTTAATTAAGACATCCAAAACGGGTAGCTTGCCTTCTTTTTCGACCTCCATGGTAAATCTGATAAGCCATGTGGCCAGATAACAAAGGTGTCATCTACATACCTCTTCCATAAGGTCGGGCGTAGAGTGGAGTATAACAGCGCATCGTGGCTGTTTCTTCCCCCTCCTCCGTTCCGAGCATAGATGGACTTGTACGTCTGAACAAAGCTCGTCGCTGTCCATGGTGCTAACGTTGAAAAGAAAAAACCGCCACCCATTTTTTCTCCATATGGCATTGTAATGTATAACGACTTATTGTTAATAGCTCAGCTGATTGGAGAGTATATAGAGTTTATTGATAACATATTTTAGTTTTTTATTAGTTTACTATATGGTATTCAATATATAGTGTAGTGTATACCCAGTTACTTTATATTAATAGCTCAACTTATTGAAGAATATAATGAGTATATTTATTATATTGATGTAGTTTATACTTAGGTTTTTTCACATCGGTTTATTGTATGATAGTTGGGTAGTTGCAGTCCTTTAGCGTCCATATACTAAATGCCTTTGTTGATATGTAAACTTTGACTTTAACATAGCTATTTCCGTGACCAGTCACACCAGTCACATGCTTATCCCTCACATTAACATCATGCTAATCTCCCAGTTACATGCTAATTTCTGACTTTAACACCCTGCTGATCCAACACTTTAACACAGCTATTTCAATGCTAAAGTCTCCTGTTTGATATGTAAACTCCTTTGTCAAGGCGCTTTACCTCTCCCACCTAGCTTAAAAGACGCTGCGAATCTTAGCAGCGTTCATTGAAGCGCTGTCGTCCCGACAGTTCTGTTCCTTCACCTGAAGAAGGCTACTTGTGTTGTGGCCGAAACGTCGTGAGAATTTTATTGTCTTTTTTTGTTTTATTGTTTTATTCTCATTCTACGTGACTTTACCGAAAGAACCAAGAAGATGAATCCTTGCAGTCACGAAAGCTTTAAATCGAAATTTAACACATACATGATTCTATGAGGTTGACGTCTGCTTTGTAAGCTTAGTCGCTTCTCTCACACGGAACTTGAAAATGAAAAGCATCGTACCAATGTCCTAAAGCAAAAAGTTTTCAATCAGTGTGATAGCATTTGTTGACATGGCTGGGAACCATGGAATTCATAACACTGAGTTAACACTGAGTTTCCACTGATGCGAGAAATGACTCGGATTTTTCGAAGCGAAATATTTGAAGAGTCTGTAAACATCTCCATGCCGTGGTTGTTGAGAAGGTAGACCTTTTTGGAAGAGTAGACATTTGTATCTATCATATCGACTTTTCCAAACAAATCTCATTTTCATCATGGCTCTTGAATAGTAAATGCCGACTGAATAGACGTTGACAAACACGAACACGTGGAAACAAAAGCTCAAAGCTGCGCACAGAATAGAGGAGAGGTGAACGCTTGGAATTGCACCGAGAGCCAGGAATAGGGACGCGCGAGTCACAGAACAAAGGGGTCACGCTGGCAGAAGACGCAAGTGGGCACTGAGCAAGTATGAGGCGTCACGGCGAGAAGGGACGATCGCTGATGGACAAGGCTGACGACGGAGCGGCAGCACAATGAGGGATCACGCTCGGAAGACGTGAAACCGGGGAGATGGAGCGATGAAATCAGCTCAGGTGCTACGTGGGTTGTCTATTACATCACGAGACGGTGAGGGAGGGGGCTGCATTTCAGCCGGCTCTGCCCAGGTCGGCAACTCTGAAAATATTTTCCGCATCCGTCACACCACATCCAGTAGATCTCTCGCAATGGCTGTGGCTCTTTGAGTCACGTGCCACTAACTCCAGCTGACTGGTGGTCGAGAACATATTCAGTGAGAAATGAATCCCTGCTGCGAGAGAAGGCAACGAAGCCGTAATCTAGCAGTGGATAGATCAGTCAGTGTAAAGGGTGACTGCTGCACTCTGGGTTCACTTCTCTAGGGGCCAAGGAGGCCAAAGGCACCTTGAGGGGACCTCAACAGGGTCGCTAGGTGGTGGGTGGGGGCGCATTCCCGGGGTCCGTGTGGAGGAGGCAGCTGAGAAGAGATTGTGGGGGGGAGGCGAAGGAGGGGGTGGGCAGACAGACGAGGGGGGTTGGTGTGGAGCGGCACCCTCGTCCCAGCTCCAGGAGCTTGCCCCCGCATCCTCGCGCTCCCTCTTTCGAAAAATCTCTCTTGACCCAGGGGGTCCTGGGGAGGCCCTGACCCCAACGAGCGACGCGCGGGGTCGGGGCTCCTGGGACCAGCCCCAAACCCTCCCCGCGCACGCGATGAGAAAACAAAGCGGCGGAGCGCATTCCCCGCGCCCAAAATACCCGGCACGGCCATTGTCGTCCGCCTATTCCGGGACGCGGGGACAGCTGCGCGCCGTGACGCGCGGCCCCGACTCCACACATACGGCCCCGACTCAAGTATCGCATTCCCCGCTCCAAGCCGGGGGCCCTCGGCTCCACTACCCCGGGACGAGTCCACACGGGTGTCACAGCCACACGGAGCTCACAGCCTCACGGAGCTCACAGCCTCACGGGTGTTACAGCCTCACGGGTGTCACAGCCACACGGGTGTCACAGCACCACAGGGTGTCACAGCCACACGGAGCTCACAGCCACACGGGTGTCACAGCACCACGGGGTGTCACAGCACCACGGAGTGTCACAGCCACACGGAGCTCACAGCCTCACGGGGTGTCACAGCCACACGGAGCTCACAGCCTCACGGGTGTCACAGCCACACGGAGCTCACAGCCTCACGGGGTGTCACAGCCACACGGAGCTCACAGCCTCACGGAGCTCTCAGCCACAACGGGGTTCGTAGCCACACGGGCCCCGCTTGGAGCGAAGCGCAGAGTTCCCATCTCGCCGCGCTGTCACTGCCTCCTCGACACCTTCATCGGTAAGACTGGTGGTGGTGCTGCTACTGCACGTGATGATGTTTCTGTCTCTCCGATTCGTGTCTGTGTCCCTGTGGTTTGTGTCTTCTCCGCTCTCTGACCCATGTGTCTGCGGTGTGTGTGACCGTGTCGTCAGTGCCATGGCGGTGCGTCGTGGGTCCTGCGCCTCTCTGCTCGGGTCTCTGAGTCGCAGCACCACCATCATCGGCAAGTACTTTCTTCACAAAGTACTGCCCCCAGTATCGCCTTTCCCAAGTACTGCTGGCCCATGTGACGGAACATCTTTGAGGGTCCCCGACTCCAGGAAACGTCTGGGATCGAGTGTGAACACGGGAGGTTTGCGGGGAAAGTAGCCATGGGAGGCTATATCGAGTGGAGGGGGCAAAAATTGTATGAATTGAAGGGGGGCACAAATGTTTTCCCCCTCTCTTAAAAAGTGTGGGGAGCCGTCCGTGCACCCCAACACCACCGTGTTGCTGTGCCCTTCGACACCAGTGGCCAGTTGCATAAAACACACAAGAGTGAACCCTTCCCTTATATTCATGTTCCTCCTGAATCCGGCCACTGGCCTCCTGTGTCTCTGTGTGGGATGGATGGGTGCTGTGGCACCAAGGGGAGGTGAAACGACAGTGTGGTGACCCAGAAGCTGGGTATGGGGTGTACAGGTAACTTGTGACTGCCCTGCGTGCACAGGTAAGTTGTGACTGCCCTGCGTGCACAGGTAAGATGTCGCTGCCCTGCGTGCACAGGTAAGATGTCGCTGCCCTGCGTGCACAAGTGAGATGTGGCTACCCTGCGTGCACAGGTGAGATGTGGCTGCCCTGCGTGCACAGGTAAGATGTCGCTGCCCTGCGTGCACAGGTGAGATGTGGCTGCCCTGCGTGCACAGGTAAGATGTCGCTGCCCTGCGTGCACAGGTAAGTTGTGACTGCCCTGCGTGCACAGGTGAGATGTGGCTGCCCTGCGTGCACAGGTGAGATGTGGCTACCCTGCGTGCACAGGTAAGTTGTGACTGCCCTGCGTGCATAGGTGAGATGTGGCTGCCCTGCGTGCACAGGTAAGATGTCGCTGCCCTGCGTGCACAGGTAAGTTGTGACTGCCCTGCGTGCACAGGTGAGATGTGGCTGCCCTGCGTGCACAGGTGAGATGTGGCTACCCTGCGTGCACAGGTAAGTTGTAACTGCCCTGCGTGCACAGGTAAGATGTGACTGCCCTGCGTGCACAGGTGAGATGTGGCTACCCTGCGTGCACAGGTGAGATGTGGCTACCCTGCGTGCACAGGTGAGATGTGGCTACCCTGCGTGCACAGGTGAGATGTGGCTACCCTGCGTGCACAGGTAAGATGTGGCTGCCCTGCGTGCACAGGTACAATGTGTCGACCCTGCATTCACAGGTAAGATGTGGTTGGCTGTGCTGGCGTGGCGGCTGGGGCTGGCCTTGCTTTTGCATTCGGGGGAGGCAGGAGGTCCGGCCGCATGGCAAGACGTGTGGTGCAACTCGGGCCTCCCGGCCTGCCGCCCGGCCTGTCTCGACCGCCTCCTCCCGCTCAGCCCGGGGCACCTGGGCCTGGTGCAGCTTCTCGTCGCATCCCTGCCGCTGGCACTTTACCTGGCGGCGGTGGCGCACAGGAGGCCCTGGAAGGCCAAGACCACAAGATCTTGCCATCACCACCATCACCACCACCACCATGAAGATCACGACGAGTCGGAAAACGATGAGGACGACGAGGAGGACTACGAGAGAGATGTTCACTTGGACAAGTACGGGCAATTCTCCGTGCCGAGCGAGGGCGGCAGCGAGAAACGCGGGCTCGCGGTGGCCTCCCGGGGCCCGGGACGCGCGGCCGGCGCCTACATCACGGTGGGGGCGCACGGCGACAACTCCGGCAGAAGCAGCAGCAGCAGCGGCTGCTTGGCCGCGCGGCTCAAGATGGAACCGCCACACCGGCAGAACGCACTCAACGCCACGGGCCGCAGGGGTGCGGGGCACCAGGGTCCGCACGGGGCGAGGAGCAGGGGGGAAGGATGCGGGGCCCTTACGGGGCCCGGGTCCCTGTGCGCGTACGTGCTGCAGGTGTCGCTGAGCGCGTTGCTAGACGCCGCGCTGCTCTGCGCGCAGCTTTATCTGTACGCCCCGCTGCTGCCCGTGGGCCCGAAGTTCACCTGCGGGGCCGCCGCCCACTTCCTGCATCGTGGCCCCGCGGGGCCCCACGTACAGCCGTGGGACGCAACCGCTTGCGGTGGCGGACACGTGGAGTGCACGGTGGGGCGGCCGCACGACAAGAGTTTGGCGCTGATGGGGCCCCTTGGCCTGTCGGGGCTCGCGCTCTGCCTCAACTTGGCCGATCTACTCCTGTGTCTGCGGCTGTGGCTCGGGGGGCACTCGGGACCCCCCGAGCGGGGAACGAGGCCGTCCGGGCTACGGGGACTCGGCGAGATCTCCGCGACCTCGGGGCACACGGAGGAGGTGAGAGACGCAGGGAGCCTGGCCCCATCCCGCCAGAGGATTCGTTCACACGAGGAGCGCCTATGCTTTACCGAGTGTGGGCACTCACGATCAGACCCCTCGTTAGTCGGAGCTCGCAGGGACCACGGGACTAGCGGGTGCAGGTTATGCAAGCGATATACATGGCACCGGTGGTGCAGGCAACGTAAGTGACGACACATGGCACTGGTGACTCTGGGAACAGAGAAGATTCAAGTGACTCGGTAATATAGTTGACATGGCGCAGGTGATACTGGTGACACATGAAACGGGTAACGGGTGACAGAGGTGACGTGGCACAGGTGGGACAGGTGATGTAAGAGTGACACAAGTATTAAGGTCTGACTGCCCACCCCCTTTTGCCTCCACAGCTTCAGGAAAAAACAGAGGAGAAACCGGGAGTCGCTGCTTTTGCCGGACCGGGAAATGCCTCCCTTAGGGAGATCAAGCGAGACCATGGCCCCCCGGGATCGGATTTCCTGGGTCCCCCATACAGGGTTGCCCCCAAGGCCCCCCACGACGTCTACCCGTGGCTCTCGCCGTCGGACGTGGTCTGCGCCGCCCTGGAGCCGGCGGCAATCGGGGCGGACGAGCCACGGTTCCCGCGCAAGCCGTCCGCCTGGGTGTGACCCCGTGTCCCCTCGGGCTCCTCCCGTCCATCCGCCCGCCCGCCCGCCTTCGCCCCCGGGCGCGAGGGCCCGAGAACCAAGATTCTGGGGTTCCAGGGGCAGTCTCAATGCGGATAGATTGCAATCCGATGTGGATGTAATATTGTTAGAGACGGATGAACTTTTGTTTAGAAACGGATGAATATTATTTGTAATTGCAGAAAAACTGGCCGCATGTATTCTTGGAAAAATTGATTTTTGTTACGCATGACATGATGTATTGCGGATTGGAAAAGCCGATACTCGTGTCAGATAAACAGACTTATAAAAGCGGATAAGCCGATGTCTGTGCTTAATGTGTGCACCTGACGCTTATAGTACTTAATTTAAAATCCAAACGTCTAAATGCGACCGTAGCTCAAAACTGAACGTAAAGGAGCAACGTAGCCGGGTGGGTTCCGAGTTTCAGCCGCCCGTGATCAATCAGGTTCTTAAGTGTCGCGAGTCGATTATCTCAACCTGGTCAAAATTCCGGATTGAATATGCTAAAGTGGCCGACATGTGACTTGGAAGGGATCTCTCGGAAGCAATTTTGCCATATCCACTTCCGCAGGCCGTTTTCGAGCACTGCTCTCCAAGGTTCCGAATGGACTCTTCGTCCTTTGGCATTACGTCGACACAGCAATCGGAACACAATTTGGAAAAGACAAGACAGTATATATACTGTGCGCATATATAGATACTTTAGACAATGAGCCCCACTGAGGGGGGAGTCATCTGCGTTGCTCCCATCATGGGAATGCGGAATGTCCAAAACTGGCTCAGGGCTGTCAACGGGAGATGAGCAGCGCATCAACACTCAATTGAGCAGGAATCGCTTTGACGGCGACAGAGGAAGGAAGATGCGAGCGTTGACTGGAAGGTGGTGTTTGACGTGCGACAAACACGTTCGTGTTGTACAATTCTTTATTGTCATGAAGCCCCAACTGTGGCTCGACGCCAGAGCCACTGTTCGCATGCTGACAGCAGCGCCACGGCGCGCGGATACAGCCGCCCTGCCTGCCGCGGGGGGTTTCACCAGCTTCAGGCCTAAAACTAATTACAAAAGATTGCAAAGAAATGTTCATAAAAAAGAATGTACATTTTTAAATCAGTGACGCAATTCCAGAATACGCGCGCATGTCTCGCCCTGCACGCAAGATGGAACCGATCACCCCCCGATCTGCCGCGGTTGGTACGGCCCCACACTAAAGGCCCGCAGCAGGAGGAACGTTCCACGTTGTCGTACAGGGGCGGCATGATTCTCTGCTGCTGCCCATGCACGCCACGTCACATCAGTGTCGATAAATGCAATTAAAAACAAATACTTCCTCCCATAAGCCCGCGTCCACGCGACTCGCGGACCGGGAAGTCGGCACGGCCACTCGGCCCTGCCGCACCGCGTCGTCTCGGAAGGGCCGGGCGACACGGCGCCACCACGACGCACGAGGGTCAGAACGGCATCGGTGCCACCGCGCCCTCTGCTCAGCTCTGGTGCCACCGCACGAAGTGTCGGTGTCGCCACACTCCACGCCAAACTCCGGTGCGACCACACTACCTACACACCAGCGACCGCCCCTGGCTTCAGTTGGACAGGGGCTACAGACTCCACCACAGTTTTCCAAGCTTTACGCGACGCGCTCGGGCGGATTGACGATCGTCATTCACCAGCGTGCGGGCTCCCGTAGGAGCTGAGGGCACTGCATGAGCCGTCTTCATAGACCAGCTCACAGCAGCCGAGACTGGAAAATCCGAGGCGGAGAATGTTTCCCCACCACCACCACCCCTCTTCCAACTGCAGTCACGAGCCACCACTGCTCAACACAGCTCTAGCACCACAGTCACCACACCCCACAATCACGGTGTCACCATCCACAACACAGGTCTGGCGTCACCACACCATGTCACCACACCCCACACAGCCCTGGTTTCACCACATGATCACCACACCTCACACAGGCACACGTGGACATCACACGGGGGGGAAGGGGATTGGGTGCGCATTTTCGAGCCCCACTGCTCAGGAACCCACAAGAAACCGCGGGAGCAACGCGGCCCCCGGCTCGTCACGACAACTCGCGCTGCCGTCGCAACGCGGCGCATTTACACGGCGCCCTCCAACGCGCCCTACATTCATCGCGCACGCCGCGGGTTCCGCGCTCGCCGCACGCGTCGATTAAAACCGAGGGAGGGGACGGGGGTTTGCACAGCGAATCCACGGCCTGGTCGGCGAGCGGTCAGTGCGACCCCGCGCTGACCACTCGAAGAGGCGGCCAGTAAAGCCGTGCCCGGCTGCATAGAGCACGACGAGGGAACCCATCCCTCCAGTTGGTTTATGCAGCCGGCCGCTGACCTCTCCAGGGGGGGATGCGACCCCGTTAACACGGGGCCCACGGGGACCTCCGAATGCCACGGCACAGAATATCCCGATCGATCAGGGTCTCTGTGCCGGGCTTGCAGGGGTTCCCGGGGGTCCCTGTGTCTCGCGACCCCCTCCACGCGGGCCCGCAAAATCGCCGGGCCGTACCCCAATAGCGGGGCTCGTGGGGGCCAACGCAACACCGTGGTTGGGTACAGAGAATAAACCAACGGCCGTGACCCCCCATCCCTGCTCTCTTGCAAGGACCCTCGTAATTACATCACTTGTATGGCAGCAGTGGTGCGAGACACGACAGCTGCCAGCCAACACCCTCGACGAGGGCCGTGGCCGGTTTCATGAAACCGAAATTTGTACTGCGCTCAAGGAAACCGAGTAGAAAATTCCACTTCAGCTGTTTTACAAAACCGGCCACCGACCATCAGGTGTCGCGTCAACCCGCTCAACCGCGACCCCCTTGTGCCGGGCCCCGCGGTTACGTGGGACCCGTCACGAAGCTGCGGGGACCCAGGGAGGGGGGCCCTCGGGCCGTCGCCAGGTGAATTTCTGCAACGACCCGGGACGCGACGCGAATCCACGCTGCATGCGTCACCGCCGCCACTCGACACTGCCAGCGGCACCTGGCCCTACCTCCCACAAGCGCCGGCGGAGCAAAGCGCCGGGCCCACGCAAGCCTCTCAAGTGTCGCAATCACATTCAGTTACACGGCAACATTTGTAGAGGATTGGCAACTGAACAATAACACACACTGCACGCGTCTCAAGTGCAGACGCGCTACTGGTATCGTCGTCATTATTCACGTATACTACTGACCCTATAGGACACCGCGCCCGTTCTCTGGCTAAAGAATCCGTAGGTGATGCATCCGGTGTGCGCCCCCCACAGCGCTCGCTGCAGGGGTGGGGGGGGGGGGTGCCGGGTGCGACACGGGGAGTGGAAGCACTCTGACTTGGAGGGGTCGGGGGAGGCGCCACGGTGCCGCGGGGCGGCGGTTGCGGCGATCACCACCGTGATGGGTGGGTCGCGCTCGTGGTGGAGATGGCGATGACGCTGGCGATGGCAATCGACGGATGTATCCTGACAACGACCACACTTCTTCAATAGGGGCGTCCAGTTTAGCCGAGGGATAACACTAACGACAATGCTGACGATTACGATGGACGTGGCTGAATACAATGCGGGGCGATCCGCTTATAGATACCCCACTGAGATAACAGAAATGAAAGAGACAACATTCTGATTCTCGACGTCTCCCGCCAATCTCAATACACGTATTCAATCTGTCGACACTCTCTTGATAGACTTTGTCCAGATACGGAGCCATCGCTTGCAAAATATCCAACCGCCTGTCGACGAGAAAGAGGGCCGTGACGAATCAGTGGGGCATCTCGAAACGGATCTCCCTCCACAACGCCTCGTGTCCACGAGGGGAGGGAGGGGACCGCAGCCACAGTCGCGAACCCCCAGACTCCCCCAGGCGCTCGCGAACCCCAGACTCCACGGGATCGGCGAGCACCGAGAGGGTGGTGGTGGGTTCACCGTCCTTGCGGCTGTCCCCCAAATCCTGTGACTCTTTCCCATATTCTGCCCCTTCCTCTCTTTGCGTGCCCAATCCAATTTTATGATTTTGTAATTAAAAAAATAAAACCGTCCAATGGCTATCGATTTCATAAAGCTCTCTTACAAAATACCCCGCCAGAATTAAAGGAACGAGTCGAGGTACGTGATCGCCAACTGAGGTAGTTTGTTGAAACAGAACAGCGACGCGCCGCGCGCGGCGGCCCACGCGGCGGCCTGGCCGGGTCCTGGCCCTCGTAAGGCTTCGTCTCTTTTCTACGTTTCCTTGACTTTTTTTACTTTTTATTTTTGCTTTTTTTCTTTTTTCTTTTTTTTATTTGTTTCCCAAATGCCTCAGGTCCGTTGCCAGTAAAATTGTATTACAAAGAATCACGATGGCATAATATACCCCCCTCTCCCACCTCCAAAAAAAACTTTAAAAAAGGTGTTTTTTTAACATTCTGGTGATGTCACGTGGGTTACCGTTATTGTTATTGTTTTAAAAGCCACGCTTCGTGTCGCGGGGTTTAAGAGTTGATCACATTCCTTTGCTGAAGTGGGGGTTGGACGTCCGGGCCCGCCCTGCAGCGACTGCCTTCTTCGCTCGTGGTCTAGAGGGCAGTGAGCGTGGCACGGGGTAGGGCACCAGCACGGAGGTGTCCGAGCTTTGAGCCGAGGACACCGGGATTGGCTCGTGCCGTGTGCGATGAGCGCAGCAAGCGACACAGCAACGGCCAACCCCGGCGCGGCCGGCCAGCGCGTGCCCCTGTCAACACTCCCTGCCTCTCCAGTTGCCACGCTCACATTGTTGGCAAAATACCAAATTTAAACACGACGCCAGGAATAAAAATACAAGTCCGGGCCTCACGAGGACAGTTAAGCCTCGGCATTGACAGACTGTTATGTTTTTGCCCGGCGTCCCTCTCTGTGGACCGGACATTTGAGCAGCGGCCACGCCGAGGAACGGCATTCGTCCTGAGTGGGCCCTCGGTAGCCTGGGAAAATCGCTCCGATGAGCACTGCTGCAGGGCTGGCTCGCACACGGTGGAAAGGTCACACGGTACCAGGTCAACACAGCACGCAGCTGGGTCCACAGCGAGACGGCGGGCATTGCATCAAGCGCCTCCTATCCATTTGCACGTCTAGAAAATGGCAAAAGCAAGCAGACGGCACATTGATCTGGACACCACGCGTCGGTGGTGCTCGCGTCACAATTAACGTACGCACTCTCGGCAATACGTTAAGTTGGAAACGCCGCTATTGCCCGCGTCACAATTAACTTACGCGCTCTCGGCAGTACGTAAAGTTGGAAACGCCGCTGTTGCCGTCTTAGACCGAGCTTAAACTAACGTGCACAGATAGAGGCGCGGCACCTATTCGCTCGACGTTAGAACTGTCGCCGGTTCCCGCCGAGCACGATGCAAGACGGACCCAGCGTACGCGCGGAGCGGGGGGTGTGGGTACAGGCAGTGCCAACGCAGCTGTTCGTGTGACCTTTTCACAGACCAGACAATTTGTCCAGTTTTGTACTGGACAGTACTTTAAGGCGGTTTAGAGAGACGTGCTGAGATGTAGTGTGTGTGCAGAGGTTGAGATATGCCATGACGTAATGTTCAACGTTGTGGGAGGGGTGTTTTTTGTTATAATTTCCTGATAATATAACCTAATTACATTTTGTTTGTTCCCTCTGGACACGTTTCTCATGGCCGGATAGGAAAACACAGCCTGACAACTCAACCCCTGCTTTGTCATTGAGTGCGACTGTTCAGAATGTGCCACTCACTTTGACTTCACTAACGGTGCTGAAGTGACCGACGTACCGTGTTATCTGAATAGGGTTTCACGATGTGAGCACTGGAGGTGTGTCCCCCTGTGCATGCCTTGTGCGTGCATGTATAACGTGCGTACATATTCACCAAACCGCACTGACCAGCGTGGTGAAGTATGGTCAAATGTCCCTCATTACCTGCATGGTGTGGGGAGGCCCTTATACAGTAAGGGTTTGACAAAAGTTGCTGAACATGCACATTAGGGTGGTCCTTATAATGGCGTAACATGATGAGATGAGGCATTATTATTGAGGCACACCATTGCATGGTTACAAACTCCAACTAAATAATCTTGGCATAATTTGATTAACTTTGGGAAATAATTTGGGGTTGCTACCGGCAGATGAATTGTGCTTTAATATCAGATATGCCTTCGCCAAGTCTGGAAATAATTTGCAACGGTCACCGACAACGTGTAGAAGGTACTGCGGTGTGTCCTTCTCACCACACCTTGTTCTGTCGTGGCTCTGACCATTTTTTTTCCCCCAGCAAGCATCAATGTGCCATTCTTCAGGATCCATGTCCAGAAACTTGGAAAAAACCTCAAAGTGTGTGCCAAGATGAATTACTCCAAACGATTCTCCTTAATGGCATCTTGCTCAACGGTGGCTTGTTTTGTAATGTCCTCCCCACTTTCCTCTTGAAGGGATTCAACCACTTTGCCCTTAATTTCTGGACCCTGTCACAGAAAGCATAAGTCATCAGCCTTCTCTCCAAGCCACCACAGATGCCCAGAAAATGTATTGATAGCAGCATTGGCAACACTTGTGTTAGCTGCCTTGAAATCATCATCAAGTTCTTCAAGAACAATAAACTAGTCCCTTATCCTCCTCCTCCTCGTTGGTAACGAGAGAGAAAAACAGTCCCACGAACATCCACATTCTGATGGCAAAAATGGCTCTTGCCATTCACTGTGCCCTGTAAAGTCCGCCAGAGGATTTTAACACCACGAGGTGCAACACTCTTAAGGGCTCTTCGTAGTTGTCGCGGGGTTGATAGAGAACTAGTCGTTTCTTGGCAAAGGCAACTTGCATTGTCACATCTGCTACAGCAGTGGCAGTGAAATCACCGCAGCCAAGAGCTGTTATCGCCATTATTGATCGATGCCATTTTGCTGGGAACTGTTTGAAAATGAAGATATCAGGACTGGGTGATAGCCTCGAGGATGTGTTTAAGACCGTCTTGAGCATGATCTCAATCACATGGTACTTGTATGCAGAATGGAGATTATGCATATAACTTTTGTTCAACCACAACGCATGCTCAATTCCATTTCCCAGCATTTGAAGGATTTGTGATTTGGTTTCTTCTTGAACACCCTGGAAGAAGCTCCTGGAGAAATGTTCTGTGCTGTAATGCTCCAGGGTGTTCTGGAACATTCCAGAAGAACAAATTTGTCTAGTGCATTTCAGGGATTTCCAACCTACTCCAGAAATCTCCAGGTTATTCTAGAAGGTTTAAGGTTATTCCAGAATCTTGACTTAAAGCTTTCATGACTGCAGGAATACATAGAACAGTTATTTCAGAAATTTCTAGAATATTCCCTCATGTTCCAACTAATTTCAAGAATCTCCAAAATATTCTAGAAACTCACAATTCGAAGCCACAAATTTAAACTTCAGTACTCGGTAGCAACCCCTATAATATGCTTCAAATTTGGCAAAAATGTAACAGTTATGCATCATTCAACAACAATCCACAGGGTACGCCAATCACGAAACCCATTTTGAAGAATAAGGACCATCCCTAATGTGCATGTAAGTATACGCGTGCATGTGTTTGTGTGTGTGTACATGTGCACGTGCGCGAGTGCGTGCACGTGCACGCGTGTCTGTGTGTGCATGTGTGGCTGGGTTAAGACATTCGGAAGCAGTTTGGTTTTGCCATCTCTTCCGATGTCTCTCCCTTCTCCATGGTGAACGTGAAGATGCCTACTCCTCATCAGACTGGGCCTGCGCTTGGCCGTCGCCTGACCCGGAGCCTTGGGCGGAGGGGCCCTGTGGGCCGGACCCTGACCTCCGCCTCTGCTGCTGTGAGTGATACTGCTGCAGGATTTCGCGAATCTTGCGCTGGGCAGTCTGGAAGGACAAACAGAGGTGCACAAGCACGTGAGCACCGGAGCTTTCAAAGGCTTTGTAGCTCTACTATCACTCATTCATTTAGCAGGTAGAGTCCACTGAGCATGGCCTGGCCACAAGTGATAACTCATCGAAGTGGATGATATCATGACGTGGGTATTTATAATCTAAACGCATGTTTCTAAATGTGGTGGGAAAAAACGGGAAGACCATCGGGAGAGAACAAGCAAACTCAACATATACAGGCATCGTCAGGGTCGGGATCGAACCCACAACCTCCTGTGTACATCTCGCCACCATGGCGAGATGTTTTGATTAACCTGCAAAATCTGAGAATCGAGGGCTAAATACAAAAAATGAGATTATTTGGAAAAAATAATCGGATTAATATGAAAATAGATATTTCCACTAAAATTGCAATCGTTTGAAGTGATTGCGACAACATGCAACTTCACTTTTGCTTAATTTATTAAAACATAAAATGTTTGCGTTCAAAAGAATAATAATGTATAATCAGTGATGAATACTTAATAAAAATAATTAACAAATGATACAAAAACTTAAACAATGAACCTTATTAAAATATGATCAACCAAAGTATAATCCAAAATACAAATATAAATCCATCTGAAACCCGTGCCCCATGCGCGCTTTCACACAGAAGAGCATCCCACACACCTGGCTGGCGAAGAAGTGTCCGATAATCTTGACGATGACCTGGTCGTCTTCGTCGGGGGTCTGGTCGCGTGGCACCACCACCTGAGCGCACGAGAGGTTCTGCAACTGCGACACCTGCAGCAAGAGGCGGGGGGCACACATGTAGTTGCCACGACATCTCCACGCTCCAACCGTTACTCCCACTGTGCACTCGCGCACTATCGCGGCGTGCTACTCCATTTCATATTTTCTATTGGGGTGGCAATGCCCGTGACCACTAATCTGTATAACCCGTCTCTCCTTTCTCATATATATCGCACTGTAGAACCGAGCTGTAGAACATTGCTCATCAAACACACTTTCCAACCAAATATTGTCGATTGGGGAGACAGGTCCATCACTCGATGCCATTACCGTACCAACCTGCCATGAACCGTACATTTTAAACAGCGTCGCCTGCAACAATTGCCGAGCGCGTCATAGTGTCTACGGCCGCTGCTCGGCGTAGGTGCGTGTGCCGCATGGAGGCCGACCGGTGCCACGCAGCCTTACCGTTTTGCCACCCTTGCCGATGACCCGTCCGGCGGCAGCGGACGGCACCTTGATGTGCACCTCCAGCTTGACGTCCTCGCGAGGGTTGAAGAAGTTCTCCTCCTTCAGCTTGCTGTAGATCCGGCCCTGGGCCTGGTCACCCGCGCCACCAACACGGCGGGTCGAACGTTACTGCAGGACTCGCACGCCGCCTTCGCTACGGGAAGCACCCCGGTGCCGCCCGTCACGCGTACGCACACAGCCCTTTCATCAATCCACTGCCGGGCGGGGGCCTCTTCGCGACGCAGGGGTCGTGGGGGTTATTTGACCATACTTTACCATGCAGGTCCGTGTGGGTTATTTAGGTGGAAGAACATAGGTGTGCAAACACAAAGGATTAAGAGCTTAAGTACAATTCAATTTGCTCACAGGAACTGCATGATTATTGCAAACAATATCGCTCGTGCATTCACACAAGGAACGTATGTGCGGCCCCCGCATGGTACAGGATTAGACCTGTGTCAAACCTGGGAGAAATAATCACCATGAATCCACGTTGATGTCTCCGTCACTTAAATTTACTATAGTTTTAAAAGTAATTTGTTCAAGCAAGCTTTTGAAACGGGAAAGTTATTTTATCTAACACTGAATTATGTATGCACGCTGTTTTTTATTTCACCTCAGTTATTTGTGATTCGATTTCTATTTTCTTCAATGCTGTACTTGGTTTTTATTAGAGGCCGACCGAAACTGAATTTCTGGTTTCGGCCGAAACCGAAACCAGAAACCGAAAGTAAAAAATTTACTTTCGGCCGAAACCGAAGCCGAAACTAAAAGTTTAACGACACTTTCGGCCGAGACAGAAACAGAAAGGAATATAACCGAAGTTACCGAACACAAGATTTAAGAAATATGTCAAATATGTCATTATGCAATGCTACTTTAATTAAAACTAAATCTAGAACTAATCATTCAGAGCCTGCAGAAAGAGTCGCTAAATATCAAATCTTTAAGTGTTACTTACTTAGTAATTATATCCAAACAAATGAATGTTGTAGTTAAGAAACAACAGTTTTTCCCGCATTCAGCCAGACGGGCTGCCGTATGTTGACCGGTCACATATAGATTAGCAGACCATGGTTGATGGCTGTAACCTCGCTCCCAAGCTGCTGCTGCTGACGTGTTTGTGTGTACGTGTGTGTGTGTTTGTGTGTACGTGTGTTTTTGCAGCCTATCGCATAGGCTTGCCTAGCGCCGAGTGACCGGCCGATAGGCAGAGTGATAGACGTAGCACAAGCGTTATATTCTAAAAATAGATCTTCGGTTGACAAATGACGACCGAAAGTCAATATCAGTTGTGACCGAAAGTCAATATCAGTTTCGGCCAAAACCGAAACCAGATCGAAAATTAAAAATTTACTTTCGGCTGAAACCGAAATTAAACCGAAAGTTAAAAATTTACTTTCGGCCGAAACTGAAAGTATGCCGAAAGAAGCCATTTGCCAACTTTCGGCGCCGAAACCGAATTTCGGTCGGCCTCTAGTTTTTATGCTATTGCTTTTGTCACTTTGGTGACCCGGGTCACTCTTGCAAATGAGACTCTTATCCTAGTCTCCTGAGTTCCCACCCTGGTCAAACAAAACAAACTTCAACAGGGAGATCCATTAATAGATACCCCACTGATTTCTAATAACCCTCCTCCTCCCGCCAAGCCCCCACCGCCCCTTTGCTGTCTTCTCAACAAGTGATTGAATGTCGTGGAAGAAACGGTTCCGGATCGTACAGAGCGACAGAGATGGTAGTGGCAGGGATGGAGATTCAAGGACCGGTGGCACGACACAATGTCTATTCTATTACTTTGCGCAAAATCCGTACCGGATCGAGAAACTAATTTAAATAAAAACAGCTAAAATGTAACCTTTAAAGAGGGTATTTTTCAAAAAGACTTGTGGCCAGTGTGAAAGAGCAGAACAAATACATTTTGTAGAGGCCCTTTCTTCATAGAGCTCCATCCTAGTGGAAGCCTGCTCCGCCAGCAGTGGTACGAGTGAGCACCTGCAGGGCTGCGCCATTTCCTTTCCCCTATCTACGCGAGTATTTCCCCCCTCTATTGAGTTAGCATCCCGGTCACATGGAGAACGAGCGAGGGGTCAGCACTGACCTTGAACTGAGCCTCGGCGTGGCCCACGATGGTCACCATCCTCTCCTTCACATCGGGGCCCTCAGCCTGCGAGATCTGAAGAGGGTGCACGGTTAGAAAGTTGATCCCCGGCTCACGCGGTCCTATTACTGCCGCAGTCGGAAGTGACCATACTTCCTGACTCTGTGAGACTTGCTCCAACATCATCACGTGGCTGACAAAGATCCCCTTGTATAGCCTCTAACAAACTCACGGCAAGTACTAATTGTGAACACCTATAAAGGCCGGCATGGCACACAAACTTTGTTTGCCGACTGCTTTGTTTACACAAGGCATCAGGTACTCATGTGAGACCCAAGACCGGTTCAGATATTTGCCACCGTTATTAGTCGTGAGCGGCCCGGCCGGATCAGAATGCATTACTCTACCGGCATTTACACTATTACAGCCAGGAGTCTGTTTAAACTGCACGTCACCTGCAGGCAGTCATTTTATAATGTGTATTCTGTCAACTTGGTTAATTTTATTTTGGGAAAAACATTCTGAACGGGGGGCAACTTGACCCTGGCTATATACTGGACATCTGTGAAAAAAAGCTTTATTGCTCATCGGATTCCTCCAGTATAAATATTCTGATTCTTTTCCTTGTGCGCAATATTACAATTTTACAGATGTTGCCACTAGGTGGCAGCAGCAGACATCGTGATGTGCACGCAGCTGCAAACAATGCCTAGATTTGCACGCGTAAAATAATATTGCGAGCGGCCACAGGAGGCAGCCATCTCTATGGTTCCCCTCTGAATTCTGATAACAGACAGGACCAGCTGTAAAAGGGTGACAGAAACAGGCTTCATACTGCACGACAGTGGAAGCAAATGTCTGAGTTTCCCAGGTGAGGTTAGTGACAGGTGACCTAGTTAGTGCCCAGTTTAAGGCCGCTTACCCGGATGGAGGCGCTGGCGTAGCGCGAGATCTGCTGAATGTTCTGCCCCTTGCGGCCAATGATGGCGCCCACGGACTGCGTCGGCACAAACAGGTACACCGTCTCCTGCTCGCTGGACTGTGCGGTGGCCGGCAATGTCAGGGATCAGAGCGGGGAAGCGGGCGGTACAGGTACAGGCGGGTTAGGGGTCATCGCGCACGCGACACGATGGGTAACGTCACATCAGCGTTGGAACAGTCGAGGGGCGCGAAGAAGCAGGAGGCATTGTTGTGGTGAAGATGCAGGACAAGCTGATGCTTTGGGAAGTTGAGAAGAACCCTTTAGGTAAGGAGCAGATTCATATTGCACTGAAGAGTGCGGCATCGACATGGTGGAGAAATGGATCAAAGTGCAGGAAAGTCCAGAATCGTTAAGGTGCAGAAACAGACAAGAACCGGATTTTAAATCAGTAACTCGTTGTCATGTAGGGGTGGCTTTCTGCCTTCCTGATAATCATTTCTGGGGACTCAAGAGATCCAGGAGTGCTGCCATTATCTCCCTTTGTCCATAACCCCTTGTTAAATATCTCAATATGCTTCAGTTTTGATTGGCTGTCGGTGTGCGTTGATTAGCAAAATCTAAAAATAAACTGAGAAAATGCGGCGGCGCCCTAGTGAACGCGGCAGGATCGAGGACTCACAGAGGGCTGAGAGGACATGCCGTGGGGGGCGCCTGGGTGGGCGTACGGAGAGGGGCCCTGGGCGTAGAGGAGGCGAGGCCGACAGGGACAGACACAGGACCATGAACAGACACAACACCCGAGTGAGACACACGGACAGAGAAGGCATGCAGTGCAGAAAGCCACGCTGCAGCAGTCGCAGCAGCGGTCCCAAGTTGTCGCCAACTTGCACAATCCTGCGATGTAAAAATCCAATCAGCACCTGCACACAAGTCGATGTCATGGATCCATCTCCTTGGTTGATGTCCGCTCGGATGCGTTGCCAACCCCTGGTTGCCACTCCACTATTATATTATTGGCCATCAGTCATCATCCCTTTTAGTGGCGTGTTCTGCCCAAGCCAACCTTCTCTTTTTATCTTACTAAAAACCGAAAAAACACTTGTTAAAATGTCACCTCACATGTCCATTTCCTTTCAGAGCAACGATGTTATTGGCAAGCGTGTTAAGTTTTTGTTATTTGTACTTCTGCACCACTGCCAATTCAGCATAACCAAATCATTTGTTTACTTCTCCCTAACACTCAGATTATGTATATAACCTTTCATATATTATCTAATCCACGTGTTTTCTTTCTGTCTCTCCGTGCATCTCTGTGAATGAATCTTGCTGTTTCTGCTGAAAAAAGAACCCCAAACACATGACGCTAATGTACAAGCAGGAAGTGCTCTGTACCGGCCATTAAAGGCCCAGGTCTGCACCACAACGTCGCTTTGGCTGTCAGGGCCTCGTGAGCTTGCCCAGCCCAGGACACGGGTTCCCACCGCGCGCACATCTGGCCGAAACTGCCTGTGTTACATGTCTGTCCACTTGAGGGCAGTGTACTTGCAGGGCCCCATAACGGACTTGGTGGAGGTGCATGCCTGTAATCCAGCACTTTGTTGCGGATGTTGTCAGCTCCTTGTAGGGAATTGTAAAACATCCAAACTCCCTGGACTGCGAGGTGGCCAGCAGCTGGTAACACGGGAAGTGTGTTTGTGAACCCATCTGTGTGGATATCCCCTCCTATGCATGAGTTTGCTCCTGGAACTCAAGCTTCCTCTGATATGGAAAGTGCTGCTAAATATAATTGGCCAAGATCTGTGTGAAGCTGTTGATGACATTTCTACATTAGAAACTGCAACCCACTGTTGCACGGTTTGTGGCGCTCACGTAATCGCATTGCTGTTGTCCACAATCATCTCTCGATACACAACACAAAATATTCGTGTCGTTATGAAGAATGCCAGTACCAATGTAAATAAGCAGATGCCACGCCTCTCTTTCTATATCTGTTCGTACACATACACAAATTAAAGTATTTTTTACACATCCTATCAGACAACATTGATGACTGTACTGTACTGATGAGTTCTAATGAAGTTGAAACTAGTTCCAGTCGTGACCGTCGCATTGCTGCTCGTTAGGACGACCACATTTTCTCAACTCTTCGAGTTGGTGTTCTGAACGAGGAAATAGCCACACAGTTCTTATGAGCTGGTGGTCAGAGAACTTTTGCATGTGCAACGCACACCAATGTGTTGATAAATCCACTTGCTTCCGGCCTGCATTATTGTTCTGTTGTGATGAATATATTCGTGATTTACAGATTTGATTTAAACATCTAATAGTTTGCCAGCATTGGTTCAAGTGAGCCGGACTGCTGATGAGAAAATGACAGTCAAAACCAGTCCAGTGTCCGGGTTTTGAACCAATGCTGCTGAATCATGTACCGGAGAAGGCCATGTGGCTTATGGGATGTGTTAAAAAACACTTTTTACTTTTTATATGGAGAGACAGATATGGAAAGGAAGGGTATCATTTGTGTATTGAAGCACATCAATGACCTCGTACCGAGAACCCCTGGCCTGTATCAAGTTCGGCACACACGTGAGGCCGCTGCTACTGGCGTGAGAGGGATGTCGGCTCACCAGCAGGGGCATGTAGGCCGAGGAGGTGCCGTAGGCCCCCAGGGAGGACGTCGCACCGGGCATCCCCGGCGGGAACAGCCCCACGGCGTTCAGGTTCAGTCCGGGCAGCATGTTGGCCTGCTGCTGCAGAACATAGCCCCGACAACACGGGTGGAGCATCATAAAGAAACACTGCGTGCTCAAAGCACGCAGGGCCACAGAAACCACACCACGGCAAGAGAGACGAGAAGACTCTGCGCTGCCCTCGGCAGAAATAGCTCACACTGTGAGCTGATCAGCAGTGGCGATCCCAGACAGGAAGTTCCGAGGGAGCAAATCGTTTTCTGCTTGGTGGCAACTCAAAGTATGAGCAAGACACGCACGGCGCGCGATTAAATTACATCACGCGTTGCGAGATGGAGGTCACGCAATCGTGACACGGGGAGGTGTCAGGGGACGTCACCACCTTGGCCGTAAAGGCTTATCCCATTCCGCGTTGGTTTTATTTATCATCAAGTTCTTTTTCAATCTCAGAATGGCGTTCATTGTTTTCTAGGGAAAGTCTCTAATAGCAACACAACTTTATATTCAGTTTCGTGAATGTTGCATGATGTTTACGAGAGTTACCATGATCCCCCAGAAAGGCGGACAGAGCTCATGCATTTCCGCTTTCTTCCTTCGTTGGAAATTGGTAAAAAATATGATCTTTGAATGTAATAATTACGACTCGTTTCACGTCTAGGAGCCAGCAAGTCGGATGTGTGCGTGAGTGCATGGCGCCGGCTGGTCGGACGTGCGAGGGCGGCGCTCTCACGTTCATGGAGCTGTAGTCGGTCTCGTGCGCCTCCTGCAGTCGCCGCATGATCTCCTCCTCGGCACGGCCACAGGCTTCCACGCTGCCTCGCACGGTGATGGTACGCTCCGGATTGTACATGGTCACATCCTGCAGCCTGTGGCCAGCAGCGCCCACATAGCCAACACAGTCAGATCACACGTGTCAATGCCGGGAATGTAATTCAGATACAATCTACCAATTATGGTGAGGTACGCGATTTTGATTAGATAAATTTGCTGCTCAAACGAGCAGTCAGGTGGTGCTCATCTGCTTTTTACATTCCTGAGCTCGCGGTTGAAATTCCACATTCCTATGGATGAGGCAAGTCTCTCTATAGGACAACTTCCCCACAAAGTAGACTCATTTTAGCAGCCCTGAACTCTCCAACATTTGGATTGCGCACGGCTCAATCTATGGTTGGGCCACCTGACCAATTACAAATTGCGACTGTAATGAAACTACATCATTAACGTGTTATCTACCGACAAAACAAACAGCTTCACCTACATCCTCCCGTCAAATGAGAGTGAAGGCAGCTCCCCACATTTGTGTATACTATCAACAGAGGAGATAGTAGTCCTCCCTTACACTCGCCCACACCCACGCCACCTATCCCTGCCCGTGTGATGTGTCGGCATTCGTAGGTGCTACTCGCTAAAGCACTTGCCCCAACAATCTGTCGAGGCTACCCGAGTGATCTTTGTCTTTGTTAGCAGTGTGAACAAAGTTAAATGGCACTGCCATTATGAGATATAATTGTGAGGTTTGGGGCCGGTGGGAGGTGTGGTGGCGTACGGGGAAATGGTGATCTTGGTGCCCGTGTCCTGCTCCACTTTCTTCAGGTTCTTGCCCTCCTTGCCGATAAGACGCCCCACAAAGTTGTTGTGAGCCAGGATCTTGAGTGGGATATCCTCGACACTGCAGCGTGGCACAGCAACGGATACAGCAGAAACACACACGCACGCAGAAGCACACGCACGCAGAGTCAACGCGCCGCCGATCAGTAACGCGCTTCCCGCATCGACTGCTGCAATTTTAATTCTACCGAGTGCGTGCAAACCAGAAGACCCCCGGCGGCCGTGAGTCACCACTCACTCTCCGGTGTCGTGTGCCTCCTTCTGGAGCAGCTCGAGGATCAAGCGACAAGCGGCCGAGCGTCCGTCAGGGCTCGCCTGGATCGTCACGGGCTTCTCGGCCGAGCCCAGCATTTCCTTGCGATGCACGTCCACCCTGCAGGTACCGCATGCACACACAGGAAAATGCAAGCGCCTCCTATTAGCACAGTTAACTCCGTACGGTGCGAAAGTTCAACATACACACAAGCCAACAAAATCCAGAGCGGCTTACACTGGAGTGGCGAGCAGCAAAACCCCCGGCTATCCGTACTCTCAGTTACCCGGAATGAGCGCTTAGCTCAGTAGCGCATGTGCCTGATTAATACTGTGGGTGCATCAATCGTAAAAAAATAATTTTCAGATGCAACTGGTGCGGGTACTGATGTGCGGTGCTAAGACCACAGTTAAAAGTGGGCTCACTTGGACTGGGTCTGCTGCGTGATGCTGCGGATGGTGGCACCCTCCTTTCCGATGACGGCACCCACGTACTGGCTGGGCACCAGCATCCTCAGCGGCAGCGTGTGCGGAGGCTGGCGGCCGGCCCCCTCCGAGTCCATCAGGGGTCTGCGCCTGGGGCCACCCCCTCTCCCGCTGCCGGTTCCATAGTAGGTGGCTCCTCCGGGGGCGCCGCCTCCGCCCGCCGGACGATCGGACTGGCGGCCGCCGGGCCCGCTGCTGCCCCCGCGGCCCCCGCGTCGGCTCACGCGCTTACGCTGCTGGGAGCTGCCGTTCTGCGACAGCTCCGGGTCCTGGCTGCTGGCGGCCTCATCCGGGATGTATGACACCTTGAGTGCATAGCTGTCCAGCTCGTGCCCGTTCAGCTTTTCCACAGCCCTGGGTAAAAATATTTCATCCGCAGGAATATTAGTAACCTAAAGAGTATTGGTTTATTTTTGAACAAAGTGTTTGTTTTCCAGAATTCGACGTTTCCGCACCCTTCGTTAGAATTCGTATTGTTACCTTCATTTGGCTGTGTGTGCACGAGGGCTTGAAGATGCATATTATGGTCATCTTAGGTTACCATAAAATAAAATGAGCGAAAGTGACCGTCTGACAGCAGCAGCAGTCGATCTTATTTAGTTCAACTTTATTTCGACGGTGATCCAATTCCATTCTTCAGGAACTGCTGATGGGGGTTTGTGCATGATGCACCGAGGCTGCTGAATACACACTTTTACTCCACATACGCACACACACAATCACATATTTCATGATGCTAATTGTCTGTACTGTGAATCCTTGCATCTCCAGGTCTCTGTTGTGAAGGCCATGTTTCTCTCAATTGGTTCTTACCTGGATATAAAGCTCACGAGTGTTTGTGTACACACGTATGGGGATGCGCGTATCACTGCACTATGAACCCAGCGTCCTGAGTTCGATCCCCACTCAGGGCCAACACTGGTGGCGATCATCTGAACCGGATCTGGGCCTCCCAGAGGTCGATTCAGCCTAAAATAAGTATCTGCTGCGATGTGTAAACATCGCCACTGTGGAGACAAAAGGTCGGGAGTGGTGCTGGCCACCCAGCCCTCTCGTGTGCCGTGCTGGCCATTATAGGTGCTAGCTAACAGCGCTTGCCCCCAACAACCTGTTAAAGACTATACGGGGGATGTTTGTCTTTGATGTGTGTACGTATGGTGTGTATGTAAATGTTTTGAAGGTTGATATTCGCCGACATGCATTAACAAATTAATGTTGGAAAGCTGCATGGGCGGTGCGTGCGGATGCAGCGGGTGTCACGCACTCCTTGGCTTCCTCCTTGGTGCCGTACGTTACGTTGACAACCGCCGTCTCACTCTCCGTTGCAACTGCAACGGACACCATCATCGCTATCAATATCACCATCACATCGCAGCAAACAGCACACGTCATCACACAAACAACTGCCACACACACAGACCTACACTCACAAATACGCAAGCAGTTGTTGGACATGAGGGCTACATGGCCTCACCTGCCAGAGGAGCCCAATGATGGGACTGTTGTCAGATCTTTCAAGGATCTCCAAACTCTTCAAAATGTGATCCAGTTGGGTTAAACCCATGATGGATCATAGACAGGCCAGCCTAAATGTCTCATGCCGGTGCAAGAATTCCTGCAAAATAGGGTCTATTTTATAGAAAAGAGGGCGTAACTGTGGCCAAGAAGAGCCGGAGCTTTGAATGGAGCAATAGGCCTGGCAGTTTCACACAGCATTACTAACGCAAGCCAATGAAAAGGTAATGTTGCTCGACTGAGCAACATTACCTTGTGAGCCCTCTGCTGGCAAACCAGAGTTGGCCATGAGCACACTCCCCATTATTTGAATCTCCTCCATATTCTCCACAACCACTCCATTACTGGATGAACATTTGGGAGGTGTGGAATGTTGACAAACACTGCCACTCATCAATCGCGCCACCATACTCAAGCATAAATCCCAACTCGAGAAATCCTAGCTATCTTTACAGTCACAGCCACACTGAGACTCTAAGACAATTAAAAGGTGGCGATACAAATCATCACAGCAAGGTAATGAATAGTGCTGATGACAACGGACACGAGGATTGGTGAATCACAAACATCTGTTAACCTCTGCACCCAAACGCATCGAGGTCGCCATCTCCTTTCTGGCTTGCAGTAAGTATGGCAGTACAGTAAGTGGATTAATTTCCAACTGTATTCTGCAAGTACGGGGGTTGATTGTTAACCCCATTGCACGCGTGTTTTTTCCGGGTACTCCGATTTCCTCCCACATGTATAAACACTCATTAACAGAGTTGGCCAAACATCCCAATATAGGAGCACAGAGCTTGGGAAATGTATAATGCCATTTCTGGCTGCATTCCCCCACTTGTCCGTGGTTTCCATCGCCTTGGTGCAAAAACTGCGCGCGTTACACATCCCGCAGCGTTTCAAGATGCCGTTGCACGATTGACGGCACTGTAGACAATTGAAACATGATTACGCATGACATGAAGGATGGCCACAATGCTGCTCAGTGTGAGGATGGACCACGCTGGAATGGGTGGGCAGCACTAACCTTGATCGCAACTCTCCACGGTGCCGTACTGGGCCAACAAGCCATCCAGAACCTGCCGGAACACAGCAACCGATCGCGACGTCTCACACACAGAGCCGGGCAACAATGGCTGAGGCTGTTTAAAACAATGGCGCCGTCACGCTAAGAAATCTCGACGTTTAAACCGTGCCGACCCCGACCGCCGGATGGCCGGGCAGCCGAGCGACGCTCCGCACGCGCACTGTTTGTGCACCCATTAGCTCTACAGGCCATCGCGGAGGAACAGAGAGGGTCAGCCTCTTGCTAAGAGTTAGGGTAAAGCGGAGTAGGTTCCGGCCCGTTTCTTTTTTGACCTTGTAGCCGAGTCCGGTGACACCAACACCTGGACTCCGCATTTCATTCGAAAAACCATGTCACGGGACATTTAACATCAACTGTGAAGCAGAAGGCGAATAGTTCCGGTTAACACGCGCCACAGTATTAACCATGGTGGTCTGCCAGATTTTGACCACGAGCCTCTGCAACAAGCGGCGAAGGAGCCATCGCTGGGGGTTTGGTCACCACTCCACGAGAATCAACCCTCCTTGCCTTCTCACTGCTCCCGTCGATACACACAAGACCCAATGCCGCAAGGGCAATCGGCAACACGGCCCTGCAGCCCTGCACAGCCTGCGAGGCATCATCTTTAAATGCTTTCGACTTCATTACCATATGCAATAAAGCGCGGGGTTCAAGGGATGGGTCTTGATAAGCGAGTGCACAGGACTCACCTCCCATTGCAGGTGGGGCGGAATGTTCCACACTTGTATCTTGCGGTTCCTGCACAACAACACCAAACACAAAGTTCCCCTATATAGCCTAAACAGACTGCTGGGCCAAGTGCAGTTTACAAGCACCTACTCAGGCCGCCACGGTACACAAGGGGGTGAGTGGCCAATACCATGCCTGACTACCAATGTCTCTCAAGTGCTGATGTTTGCACACCGCACCAGGTACTCATTTAAGGCTGAGTCGACTTAGGGAATTCCCAGGACAGGTTCAAATATTTACAACTGTTCTTGGTCGCGAGTTTGCATCGACCGCAGGTCGCTGGGTTCGTAGCGCAGCGCGCTAATCAATACAATACTGCTCCTCAAAACACCACCACCAACTAATACCACCACCAGCAACAATCAAACCGCGATAACCTGAGCAGAGGCTTGGCAAGAAAGTTTCAGAAGAAGAATTTGTGCTTTTCTTCGGTCTTGCTAGCCCTTGCCTTCTGACCAACAAATGCAGGAATGAGATCAAGTTACAGGAGGGGGGCTCTGTGCTTGTGTACGGAACACACGCTAATCCTTTAATCAGCTCACCGTTTGGTGCTGGATTAAGACTTACCTAAATTACACCGCCCCACACACAAAGGCAGAGTCTGCAAATATCAAAGCGTTCTGCAGACTCCACTGTAAGTGGCGCATGGCGCCTGCGTCAGGGGCACAGTGCTTGGGCGTGGCGCCGCTCGCCAGCTCAACGACGACGCCACAGTTCGTTTCCATGACCGTTGGGAATCGGGCCATGGTGGCCCAGGAATGGCCCAGGATTAGCAGCTGCAAGGCCCGGGTGCACACGCGCACACACCATGAGCACACGCGCACACACCATGAGCCGTGATATTCCCCTCCACAGCTGGGCGTTCAAAGTTGCGAAGTAATGTTTTTAAAAAGTATTTTTTTTAAGTTTAAGGTAGGTTTAAAAAAAACATGCAAAGATCCGCCTTCCCATATGTCTCTCCAAAGAAAATAACAGTATTTTTTTTTACACACGTTTTCAGCAGCATTGGTTAAAAACAAGAAAACTCTGTACTGGTTTCGACATTTAGTTTCTCATCAACATCTTGCCTATAAACATCAGGAAATTCACCAGCATTGGTTTGAGCAAGCCCAACTCCGCTGATGAGACAATGTCAAAACTGGTTCAGAGTTTGCCTGTATTTAACCAAGTTTAAAAAACACTCCCAAAAGTCCATTGTGGCCTAATGTAGGCTTATGCTTAACCTGGACTGCTTTAAGATCAAACGCTAAATATTGGGTTTTTTAAATCAATTTGTAATGCCGACACCACCGAGAAGTCAACTAAGCTTGTGGCGTCATGACATGTGTACCTCGCTTTTATGTTGACCTCATGACGTCACAACTCTATCTGGGGTCGCCCAGCCCTAAGCGTGTGGCACAGGGTCAAAACGATCGCCCAGAGGCCAAGGTTTGGGTCCCGATTGGTTCATTTCTGGCCTCGCGGAACAGCCGTGGGAACATTGGTTCCTAGGCCCGGGCTGGTGCCAGCACTGAGCCTGCCTGCTTCCCAGTGGGCAGGGGAAATGGGGCTCGAGTCTCGACTGAAGAAAGGCCGTCTCTGCTTCACAAGCGTCTGTCACCCACCTTGAGACTCGCAGCCTCTCAGAGCCAGCAGCCCGATAGCATTATCCTTATCGACACACGTGATGCGTAACTTCACGTGATGCGTAACTTCACGTTTCAAGCCCCGGTAACTATTAATTTACACCTCAAGTTGTTTTCCATTGCTATGTAAAGGCAAATCAGCTTTGATGAGGCTCTACTCGGACAAGGCTTTCCATGGCAGCGAGCCTGCACCAACCACACACATTCACCCACAAATCAACCTTACAAAGACAAAGATCCGCGATATGAAGGGCAGCACGGCACACACGTCCGGCCTCCTTTGTCTCTCCAGTGGCAATGTTTTTACACGTCGAACCAGGTACTCATTTGAGGCCGAGTCGACCTACGGGAGGCCCAGTACCGAATCAGATAATCGTCACTTGTGTTGGGCCTGAGCGGGAATCGAATTCGGGTTGCCAGGTTCGTAGTGCAGCATGCCAACCGTTGCACAACACCCCACTCACTACTACCTTACACACACCCTCCCACAACACAAGGTGTTGCCACCTGTTTCAGTTTGACCTGGTCAGTCCAGGTTACCTGTTTTTGGGTGGCAGGAATTTATTTGTACAGAAATCTGGTACCAGTGTTGTCTTGAAGTATATTACACGAGACTGCACGGCTTTGCGAGAAATCTAGGCGGACCGAGAAATATGTCCGGGTTTGAACAACAGTGTAAAAGGTGGCGAATCCTAACACGCAACTTACACCCGCCTATGTACACATGCACACATACACCCAACCGACCCATTTACCTTATGCACACTCACACACAAAGACTCCTGTAAAGTCTTTTCAGGCTGTCCGGGCAAGTGCTGTTAAGCGAGCATCCATGAAGGCCAGTACGGCGCATGAGAGGGTAATGTGGCCAGCATTACGCCCAGCCGCCTTGGTCGCACACACAACCACACATGCACCCGCTCTCCCCACCTAGCCAGAAACCCCCACACACACCTATACACATACACCCCCACACACGCGAGAAAGCCGGACCTCCCACCGCCCCACCCCTACAGCTCCTGACGTGGCAAGGCGCCGTAACTCCCAAGCTGCTGGGCTGGCCTAACGCTCCCACACCAAGCTCACACAAGTACGTATCCTCCACGCCATACTTCAAGCAAAGGTCAAACAAGAAAACACAATCAGTCAACAGGTGTGGCTGGAATGTGCGCAACCGACCAAACATCTACAGTGGCCGAGGGGGGAGAGGTTTTTTTTTTTTCCCAGAACGCTCAGGCCTGCGCAGTGCGGCGCTGCAGCAGCGTGGTCACTTAGAGGTCTGTTGCAGACAAAGACTGGAGGCATTCCCGGCACGGTCACACCCAGGCCACGCTCGCTACTCTTCACTCTGGTCCAACGAGTTTGAGATTACGCAACGAGGATTCCGTACCTCACGCGGGAACCAGCTCCGTGCCAACAATGAGCGCCACAACAAACGCGGCAATGCTAAATCCGACCATCTAAATGGCACATTCCTAGGTGGGGGGGGCTTCACCTGCACAACCTGACACGATGCAAACCACTGGCAAAGTGGATGTCAGACATTCCACAACCCAAGCTGCCCCACACATAGCGTGTTGAGATGCACCGATGCAACAGACATTCGGGTGCAAATTACAAAAAACCAGCTCCATTGGCAAGTGAAGGGCATGCAGGGAATACACCACTGCATTGTAAAAGGGCACTGGACACATGCCCACTATAAAAAAAAAGTGCAGAAAAGCCAGCGCCTCCAGTTGTCCACGCAAATCCTGGCAGGCGCTCGTTAGATAGACATGCCCATTCCCAGGGTCACGCTTGCAGCTGCAAATGTAGCCACACTGCCTCTTGCCATCACACTTGCCGCATCCTTCCCTAACTCTGCTGTGCAGCAACGACAAACACGGCGGACGTAACGAGTGCGAGAGATGTTTTTGCTTCCATAAGCGCCACTCACCCGGGGGCCCCCAGTGGCGACAGCCGAGACGAAGGGCCGGCACGGAGAGTGTGACCACGGAGGACGACGTTACGTAAGCGGAAGTGCTCGAGGGGGGTGGGGGGAGGGCAGCAGCACCGCCGCCAAGCATGGGCCCAGGGCCAGGCCTCGGCGGCAGCGGCGGCCCCATTGGCCAGCGGCCTGTCAGCGCAACCACCGGCACTCGCGTTCGTGCGCGCGTGCTTAAGCACACGCGCCGGTCACCTGGAGGCCAGGTCGCGAGGATGGCTTCCGTGTGCCACGCTTGGCACCAAGTGGCGGCCACTACGGCCAATAAAATGGAGCCCTTCCCACAAGACTTGGAGGTGCCGGGCTCACGGGGCGCTTTCGCCGGGAGCCAGTCGCAACTCACAGAGACATTGCCAACGTGACGGCGCGATTTTTCAAAACTTTTAAAAGTTTGCCACGCGTCAGCAAGTGGACCGCATGGCGTGCCATCGTCTAACTAAGACTAAGAGGGTTCGTAAGCTGGTTTGAAATTTTTAATTTCACAATGAGCAACTTTCAATTTAATATATTCTGTAAAAAAATTAACTTACTGCTCTTAATAAATCCACTGCTGGATGAGGGCCTTCCCAACATCGTGGCAGTCATGGGGGATTGTCCAACCATACTTCAACACCCTGGTCAGTTTAGGTTGAAGGTGGGGTGCCAAAGATTTATCGACTTATCTCTTGCCACCGAAGTTACCAATGGCCGGGAATCGAACTCGGATCGCGACACTTGTGCAGCCACTTCACCTCGAGGCAAAAATCAACTTTCACATAATGATTAATGAATGAAAAAATACCAAATTGCATCAAAATAGAGTAGAATTATGGTTTATCCTAATGTTCATTTGGCTCACATTGTCAAAAAATGCAGGGTTAAAAATTAAAGGGGGAAGTAATGTGAAGCGACAGGGATGCGGCACGAAAACTGCACGACTGCTCCACCACCGGTCCCCTGCAATGACCGATCCGCAAGCACAGCCACACCCCAGCACGGGTGCCCCTCCCCTCGGGGGCCGCCTAGCCTCAGCTTTTGTTCATCAAATTAGTCAGGCAAAGTAGGCTGCTCCGGTCACGCGACAATGGCAGCAGCAGCAGTAGCAGCACGACATGCCGTGCGCGCGGCCTTGGGCAACCAGCCTCGCCTAGTTCACATGGCGGCGGAAAATTAAAAGAGCGGAGCCACGTCACGACCACCGCCGCCCCCTCCCTCCCGCTCCGCGGCCAGGAATGCTCGAGTGCGTGTGGCGACGGTGGAGCAGGGCAGCAAAAACAGCACGGGTCTGCACAGAGCAACAACAGCTCTGTGCAGCAGGAAGTGCGAATGCATTCGAGGTTTCCGTAAGGAAACCAAAATCTCTGCTGCGTTAACCCCTTTGCTGGGGGCTGAATTCGCCATCCAGACCGCTTGTAAAGCCAATGAAAGAGAAACACATCCTACAGTCAATGACCTCACAAACAGCACTTTCACACATTTCCTCGTAGAAAGCCACCGTGAAGAGCACACGGATGTGCACTAAACCACGGCAGAGGGCCACAAACGGCCTTCCGGTGCACCTGCCAGGGTTACAATTCGTCAGGCGACCAACTTTAGATGGAAGAGACCTTCCTACGCCCAATGATCAACACTTAAAAAGCTAATAGGAAAATCAACAATTTTCGCATTTTAAGCGATGACACCGCTGATTAAATCGCAGGACGGGACCTTCATAGTGATTGTATGTGTACTCCCTGCATGTGAATTTGCTTTGTGTAAAGCATTCAGAGAACACAAGTCGAAAAAGTGGGCACCTCCTGTCTGGTCTGGTCAACAGCATAAAGCGTAGGAGGTGCTCGTAGTCGAGCAGCCTTTACTCAGCTAGTGACGCCAATCGTACCAGAGCAGGTTCGCTCCACCTCAGCCAAGGTGTCCCTTCGTCCTCACACAGCGAGCAACGACTTTGGCCCAGGCCACAATGGCATGCCTACAAAACGGCACACTCTGTACAGTAGAGCGGTTGACAAACACAAGTTTCACGCTGCTGGGCGCTGTTAGGTTCACAGTCCATGAGCTGCGCAAACACTGGCAACTGCAACACCATGCAAACGCAGGGCATTTATATCAAAAGGAAGAACTAATGTCCACTTTGCAGCCGTCACCTCAAAAAAAGCATACATCAACAATGATCTCCGCCGAATGATACTTTGTTTACTGCCAAAGGTTTACGAAACGAATATTTGATTGAGACCATGTTTAAGTTTAATTGCAATACTTTACAGGTTACGTTTACCCTTTAACACAATATCCACGCACCAAACTGTTAACCCACTGCTGGTTGTGGCAGACCCGGTGATGTGTGGACCTGTAAGCCCAGCTTGGTGAGACACACTAAGCAAGCCCTTTTGTTGTGTTAATTACGAGGACGCACTCATTATGTAGGAATGTTTGCCACAACAAACGAACAAGTGGAAGAGAATTATAATACTGTGAGCACATAAGGTATCGCTAAACGAGTTTTCAGCCTCGCATTTGAGCATTAGTATAATCGGTTCGGTGAAATGCACGTGCATGGCTGGAACATTCCCTTTGTTGCAACTGATAGAAGTGATGCTGCACTGTCGCACACAAACGCAGCATCGCACGTTAAACGCTTGAAATATGTCCCAACTTTGTGTGTGCACTTTTTCGCCGCTGCATTCAAGCAAGGCGGTATTTGCTCCAGTGGCAGTGACGAGACATCGGGGTGGCGAGGAGGTGCCAACTGGTCAAAGGAAGAAGGCAGGGGGGGGGATACAGTACCTCTGTCGCCGCGGAACAGAGTGTTCAACTTCCAGGAACTTGCCGTTGAGTTCCACTTTACCTGTACACGAGCGCGCACACGCGCACACATTCACCGGGTCACATCGTGTGTCCCACACACTCGCTCGTTACAACACGTGGTCATATGCAAATGGGTGAGAATCATCATTACATCTCGAAGTGACAACGCTAAAACGGGAGAGTCTCGGGTGTAATTTCATCCGCATCTGTACGGGTTGGCTTGGCGACCTGGAAAATATTATCGCACCGGCACTCCACATCCAGTATACCTCTCAACTTCGGCCGTGGTTACTTCTACTGCTAGACGGATGTTTAACTCCTACACTAACAGAGCAGGAAATTGCTCAGTGAAAATTTAAGCCCTTGAAAAAGTAATACACGGTTCACACTTTACAAGTCGTTATTGTTGGCCTTCCTCGGTCTCTATGCAAGCGGAGGACACCAAGTCGGCTCAATTAGCTGCCTCGGACATATTTTCTGTAATCCGTGGTCATATAAACTTCCAGTCACGACGAAGCCACATGGCACAAAGCACCGCACTGCAGCAGCAGCAGCTCGTAGGCCCCACTACGCTGCTGCGGGAGTGCCGTGGGCACCGTCGATAGAAGTGGCCCAACAGACTCTGGGCCACGTTTCAGACGCCAGGTTAAACACGGAAGCCCAAATTCATAATCAACAATCGTGCAAAAATAGCGTGTGAAATAAGACGTTCTATACACACACACGTATTAAAATACCCTCCTAGATCTATGTTATCAATAATGCAAGGAATTAAGTGCCATTGACAGATGCAAATGAAACTAATATTGCATGTATAAGCCTTATGTTTAGAACCAACAATTATGTAAAGATAATTACAGCGTATCAGTATCCGAGATAATGTGTACAACAGACTTACAAATCTTGCTGTGGGAGATTACACAAACCACCTTACCAGTGTTCGCTCCTTGTGTCATGTCGAGCATTGTAAGGGGAACGCTTAAGATGTCAAAGAGATGATCCTATGTTACGACATGACCACTGAAGGTGTTTGCAGAGCAAGGTAAACACGGCCATTAGTAACAAAATTGTAAAAGTTGGTGTCTTGAGTGTAAATCTGCTCGTGGTGATGGAGTGACGAGTAATGGTAATGAGAAGTCATCAGGAGTGGTGGTGGTGATGGCGACGAGGGAGGGACGCTTGTGATGATCGTGGCAAGGCATGGTGAAGATAATGTAGTAGTAACAAGGGGTACTGGAGGGATGGCGTAACTGTGGGTGAAGATTGATGGAGTGACGATGTAAGGCCACCACTTGGTGGTGGTGCTGCTGCCGCTGGTGGTGGTGGTGTAAGGACGAGGCCACGTGGTGATGGTGTTCACGTTGAGCACTGCCACGCCGTGTCATGTCCCCTAAAAGCCCCCTCGGGTCTCCCCGTGACAACGCACAGGGGCCTGGGACGCCTTCCCAGGGTCTCCTCCACCATCTCTCTCGGTCCCCGTTCGCGACCCCTGGCGTTCGCGACGGCATCTAAAGAACCCCCTTTCCCAGAGTCCCCTCGAGGCCTCCTTTTTGCCCGGGATTTGTGGTGCGAAAGTTGCGGTCGTTCGGGCCTAGCGCGGCGCGGGCGCCATCCGCGCGCTTCCCCATGGCCGAGGCGGCTCTTGCCCGCCGTCACCATCACCGCCGTCAAGGCGACCGTCCTCCTCCCCCGCGCCTCCTGCGCGGACACCGCAACGAATGTGCGTGCCAGGCAAGGTGCACTACCGACGCACGCCGGCCGCGTGTGCGCAGCCCCCGTCTTTGCGCATAAATAAAATCGAGAAAAATAATCGAGGAAAAATCCGGAGAGCGGCCCCCGGGAGCCGAGGCGCCTGGGCCCCGCTCCCAACCGAACCACTCCTCCCCCGCACAAACTCCTGCCCCGACTCCACGAGGCCCCGCGAGGGGGTGACCCTGGGACCCCCGGGACACCTGGGTCGCTCTGGGGACACCGGAGGCCCCTGGGGACACCGCGGCTAAGGGCCCCCAACCCACGCCGCCCGTGGCGGCCGCGACCCGAATTCTACTCCTGCTCGTGTCCCCGCTCTACTGCTGCTGCTACCCCCATTACTCCTCCTGTTGCTGCTGCTGATGGTGGTGGTGATGGTGGTGGTGATGCTAACCACTTTTGCTACAAGTGATGAAGATGGTCCTGGCTGTGATGATGCTGCTGCTGCCAATAATGACCCTAACCCTGCTGCTGCTGCTTTTCCCGCTACGGACGACAGCAGCCCTGCTGCTACTGCCGTGCTGCTGTTCCTGCTGCTGCTGTTCCTGCTGCTGGTGTTTCTCCTGTTCACGGTGCTCGTCACCGCCACCATGACTCCTGCTGCTGCTATCCCCGACACCACGGGCTTAATGTCCCTGATGCAGCGCTGTCCCTTGCTCTTGCCGCTGCCGTTGTTTCTGCTGCTGTTCCCCTAAACTGATTGCGGCCACCCCCGGCCTCCTGCTGCCACCCACCGCTGCTGCTCCAGCTGCCTGTGGTGATCCTCCAACCCACTATCGCCTCCACGCTCTCCTTCTCATCTTCCCACCTCTGCTCTTCATGCTGACCCACGTGTCCTCTCTGCTGCTGCCGCTGCCGTCCCTGCTGCTGAATCTCACCGGAGATGGCCTCGATGGCCTTGAGCGCCGTGGTCTCGTCTGGCGTGTCCACGAAGGCGTAGCCGGCCTTGAGCAGGACCTGTCCGCTCACGGCCAGCTGCCTCTCGGCGAACACGTTCTCCAGGTCGGCGGCGCTGACGCCTTCCTCCACGTTCCCTATGTACAGCTTGGCCATTGCTGCTGCTGCTTCTGCTGCTGCTGGTGCCTGGACGAGACACGGTGGCCCGTGGCGCGGTGGGGCGGCCCGGGATGGCAGGAGTGGCAGAGGAAGGGTGGTGGTGGTGGTGGCGGTGGGGTGGTGGTGGCGGCGGCGGCGATCGGCGTGGCCCGGTGTGCTGCTCGGTGTGCTGCTGTGTGTGGCGCGGGGAGGCGCGGCAAGAGGAGGAGGAGGCGGTGGCGGCGGGAGAGGGAGGAGAGCTGGAGGGAGGAGCCGCCCGGGGCAGGGAGGAGGATGGTGAGAAGGGGGTCCCCGTGCCCCCCCCCCCGAGACTTGGTGTGGGTGCCCGACACTCACGGGCCACATTGAGCCACGTTGGGGCCACACTAGGCTTATGCCATAAGCTGATGCTCACATAACATAAAATATACCCGTTCGACATGGACAATGCCCTCTCATAATGGATTTGCCAGGGCCGATGATTATTTTCATTAGCCATGGGTCCCTGCCTATTCAAATAAATTGACTGCACTGGCATTGATTGGTTCAATCAAGCTTCACTGCTGATGTGACTGCTTGTGTTGAACCAATCCTGCTGAAATTATACACTCTCAGAAGGCCGTGTGGCCGGAAATGCTGAAGCAGGCACATTGCTTATTTAATGAGCCATGACTAATCCACTGCTAGATTAAAGGATCCCCAAGGCATCGCCATCTCTCACGATCCTGCGATGTTATAATCCACCAATCACCCGCACACCAGCCGATTTCATTGTCCCATCTCCTAGGTGGATGTATTATAGAATATTGGTTCATATCTTGCTTGCCACTTCAGAATTATCCTTGACCATCTGCCATCCTCGGACAGATATTGAAAACTGACTGGAATCAAAATTATGACATAGGAAATTGTTTTGGGCAATAGCCATCATTCAGATCAGATAGATATATTGACTTCCAGTTGGTATCGAACGGTGGGGGGGCTTAACAATGCTGGGCAGTGTGTTTCACCAATATTATACTCTGACTACACACCACCATTGATAACCCATTTACACTGATTGATTTTGCGCAACTGTTATAGCCAAAACACGTTTAAAATCAACGGCTTCGTTGAGATGGCATGGGGTGTAATTTTCCATGTATCGAGGAATAAAGTTTTAACGTTTATATTAACGTTTTAATTGACCGGCCACACTAAACCAGCTGATTTCCGTGTGAGGGTGCACCCCACCCTGCCGATTTCACCGATACCGTTTGTGTCGCGAATGCAATCCCATGTACGTGAAACATTCCAAGCGAAGCAGGTCACAAATCAGTGTCTCACACAATAACTTTATTAAAATCTTTACATTACAAAACCACTTACATGGTATGCCTGAGCAGAAGCCGTGTGGACCTCGAGGCAGCCTCAGCCGCGGTGTGTGCATAACCTCTTTTGCACCGTAATCACCCAACCGTGCATGGTGTGGTACTCGTGTAGGTCCAAGTGCAGTGTTTTCAGTTCGTTGAAACAAAATTAAGGAAATTAACATCTACAGCAAACCCTTGCGGCAATAGGCAATCCGCAAACTCAAGGGCATATGGGAAACCTATGGTTTAGTTCTCGATTCATATGCCACCTCCTCCTGTGCATTAGTTACCCTACATTAACCCAAACATGAAACAGGACTTTATTTTACGTAAATTAAAATGTTCTGTTAAAAATAACCTGTACGGTAAATGTAGATACAAAATGTGTGCAACTGAACTCACTGGAGGCTGGGAACACGTCACCTGGGGACCACGATGGGCCTCTTGGGAGAAAACAGAGACGACAGTGCATATGTTCTTGCACGGCAGCTTCATCATGAGCAGTAGCTACGATGCACACAGAATTCTTGCGGTGAACCGCGAATGGTCGAGCCACAGGGGTGTGATCGGTGAACTGTACCTCGATGAATATGGCACAAAATCATGATAGCTAAACCCACGAGAGGGAAGCGTTTCATTCTCTTTGGTTCTAAAATAATGTATTTTATTTTATACCTACGTGACTTTACCAAAGAGTATGGATCCCTGCAGTCACGAAAACTTCAAATCTAGAGGGAAGGGTTTGCTCTACTTTCTCTAGTGTGATCCTCCACGACCCAACATGGCCAGACATTACATGTCCATGTGTACAAGTAATTATAACACTGTTCCTGGGTAGTAAGTGTTATTTCCTAATTGCTTATGCCTCAAAGGTACAGAAAATTTATATTCCGCACAAACTTGGCTTTTGTGACCAGGACAGTGATATTTTGAAATGTACCTATTTTCAATGAGAAAACGGGCGAATGTGTATTTTAGTTCACATTAAGTCAGAAAAAATAACATATTAATCAAAATTAGCATGTATTTACCCTAACGTAATACAAACATGACTAAAAATAATTTAGACACCAAGGCGCACTACCACAGGCAGGACTGGCCACAGCAGACCGAGTTTTCTGTGTGGAGGAACAACGTCAAGTGGGAGCCTTATGAAACAATGTCAGAGCTGTAAATAAGGAGTTGGTAGCCTTTAAGCACCGTCAAGACATCTTCCCTAAGCTAATGCTAAGGTAAAATCCGGTGTCTTCGTCGGACTACAGATGAAGAAGATCCTGGAGTTCAATGAATTCCCCAAGAAGCTCACTAGTAAGGAGAAAGCGGCTGAGAACAGCTTTGTCGCAGTGGTTCGTGGCTTCCTGGGCAATCACAAGGTCGACAACTATGTGGAGCTGGTTGAGACTGGTGAAAAACTACAGCACAATGGGCTGTAGGATGTCCCTCAAATTCCATATCCTTGATGCTCATCTTGATCAATTCAAAAACATGTGAAAATGGGAGCATACTCGGAGCAAGGCGAGCGCTTCCACCAGGATATACTGGACTTTGAACGCCGCTACCAAAGACAGTATAACGAGAACATGATGGGAAACTACATTTGGGGCTGATTCGTGAAAGTGATTTACAGTATAATCGTACATCTCGAAAAACTACTCACTTCTAAATCTTTTGTAGTAATTTTTGTATTACTTTTATAAATACATGTATATTTTTATACATGTTTTTTTCTGATTTGATGTGAACGAAAATATAAAAATTCGCCAGTTTTCTCATTGAAAATAGGTCAGTTTCAAAATATCACTGTCCTGGTCACAAAAGCCCAGTTTGTGGGAAGACATTTTGTATACTTTTTAGGCATAAGCAATTACGAAATAACACTTAATACACAGGAACAAAAATTGTGTTAAATAGTGTTATTCTTTCAGCTCACCAGGAAGTGGAAGAACAATTGTCATAACCGACTGGTTGCGACAATTTGATGCGTTTGGCTGTAGGGCGTTAAAAGGTTACATGACAAAAATTTGGTGGAACCTAAAAATCAATTATGAATCATACCGGCTTGCAAAACATACCAAATTGCACATCAAAAATGTTCTGTCTCTAAACCTTCAAAAGTTGTAAAAAATGTTGACTTAAAGCTTTCGTGACTGCAGGAATTCATATTCTTTGGATCTTTCGGTAAAGTCACGAAGAGAAGTTAAAATAACCTATCTACTAAAAAATGTCACGAGACTATTTACCAATTATTATGCATTAACTTATCAGAAATCATTAAAACATACATCAGGAATCACTCCAAAAATCTGCTTGATTTTGTATGAAATTTTGTCGCAAGGGAAACCCAAAAAGTCGCAAATGTAGCAAGACTGCTAAGTTTCAAATAATAATAACACTGTGTGTGGACTGCAAGGCATCATCAGTGCAGTGTGCCTGGAGTGCGGGCCTCATTGCTTCAGGCATCAGTCTGGTGTGTGAGCAGTCCTCAGTGTGCTTCTGCAGGCCAATTATTACACATTAACTTATCAGAAATCATTAAAACATACATCAGGAATCACTCCAAAAATCTGCGCAATTTTGTATGAAATTTTGTCACAAGGGAAACCCAAAAAGTCGCAAATGTAGCAACATCGCTAAGTTTCAAATAATAATAACACTGTGTGTGGACCGCGAGGCATCATCAGTGTGTGGACCCGCAAGGCATCATCAGTACAGTGTGCCTGGATGTCGGGCCTCATTGCTTCAGGCATCAGTCTGGTGTGTGAGCAGTCCTCAGTGTGCTTCTGCAGGCCTTGTTATGATAAAGCCATTGTTAGATATTACATGCTTGTGTTAGTGTATGTGCAGGCCAATGGGTGCTGTGATATGAGAGCAGGCCTAGGTGTGGTCCGGCAGGCTCCATTGTGTCTGCGTGCTTGGCTCCATTAGCAGCTGATCCAGGAAGGGTCACGGCTGACGTCCTGGTTTTGGGGGCCCAGTAACACGATGGCACGAGGGCCATTCACAGGGTCCAGGAACCTGCACACACATGCACGCAGAGTTGTTCGCCAAGTACGAAGTCAGGGGCCGTATTGAGTCTCAAACCTTGCACTCAGGGGGCTATCAGAGGTGGGGCAAGGAGGCTTCTTCTGTTTTGGGGGAATAGTCTCCGTACATCATTTTTTGTATACATGTCCATATCTCTATGTCTCTCTCTGTGTGTCTCTCTACATCTGTGTCTCTGTATCTATGTCACTCTCCATATTTTTGTCTCGTGCTTGTCTCTGCGGCCCCTTTCTTCCGATCTACACAGGGCCTCATTTAATTCTGAGATGGCTTTGTGCCCAAGGGCTGCACAGAACATCTTGGGAGTTCATGAGCATGGAAATTGTACTCGCACACACACACACACCCCCTCACCCTGCTGGCAAAGTGGGCGCTGACAAATAACTGACCGTCAGTTACAAGTTAACAGTCATTTTGCGGGAAGTGATGCATTTGGTGGTGATGAACAAACGCCGATGAAAGGGAAGTGATTAACAATATTACGTCCACTTGTACCAGGCTGCTGCATAGGGTTTGCTCGCTTTTGAGGAGAGAGAACGACTCAGAGGCACGAGAAACGAGACGAGCAGGAAGGCAGCAGCAGCAATGTGAAAAGCTGGTGCCAACGCTTGTGCAAGCTTTGCAGTCTTTGGTATATTAAGTTGTTATTGGCCAATTAATGAGTTAATGGCCGAAAGAACCAAAAATAATTAAAGAGTGTTTCCAAGTGGGAGGAAACCGGAGCACCCGGACAAAACACCTGCATGCAAGGGAAAAAGTTTTTTTTCGAATTCGGTACAAAATTCAACATTTCAAGAGCTCCAATGCAAGTGAATATATAAATAAATTACGTCACGAAGTAGTACTGAAAAAGCCGCATGCGGCTCCGGAGCTGAA